GGAGCCTCCTCTTCTCCAGGCTGAACAACCCCAGCTCCCTCAGCCTGTCCTCGTAGCAGAGGTGCTCCAACCCCCTGATCATCCTTGTGGCCCTCCTCTGGACCCTCTCCATCAGGTCCATGTCCTTATTATATTGAGGGCTCCAGACCTGCACACAATACTCCAGGTGAGGTCTCACCAGAGCAGAGTCAAGTGGCAGAATCACCTCTCTGGACCTTGCTTTTGCGTGTCCTGCACCTCGGACGGAAAGCAGAGACCTTAAATCCTTTGAGTGCAAAGAATTAACTCCTTATTGGGGTTGAGCGGAAAGAAAGCCGCGCCGTAACAAGGGGGTTTTCCTAAGCTGGTGTTTGGGGCAGGGTGAGTCACCACGTGGACTTCACCCACCGCTTCCATGCTCAGCAGGAACGTCTGTGAGAAGCTGGAGGTCTCTCCAGCCACACAACACACACCATGAACATTCAGTCTTGCCCAAGAAACAGAAGGGGACAGGACTGGGTGGCTGAGCTGTCACTGCCATTGGAAAATAGTCGGTTTTATAGATATTTTTTTTAAAATACAGCATTTTTTTTTTTTTTTTACTTTACCACCATCAGATGGGGGATTTTTTCTCTGCTGATGACCATGAGCCTCTGCCCTTCTAGACAGGCTTCTGGCTACGCAAATACTTCAGGACAATTTATCGGCGTCACAGCCCTTAAACTTTCCTCTATACAACTGCTCTGAAAAGGAAACAAAAAATATATATATATATATAAAAATTTGCATCTTATACAACTGCTCTGAAAAGGAAACAACAAAATATATATATAAAAAAAAATTTGCATCTAACAGTCAGGCAGAAAAGATATTTTTTACTACTTTCCCTTCTTTGTTTCGCTGAGTTGACCTGATGTGATGGCTGGGACCAGAGGTTTGTGTTCATTTGCATTTATCAGCACAGGCTTCTCTGTCCTTCGCCGAACTTAAATAAAACACAGCGAAGGAGCCAAACTACTAGCTCTGAAATTAAAAGTTTGTTGATCTGGAGGTGGTTTTTTGGAAGGTTTTTTCCAGCATCCTCCAATTTCAGAGCGTTGATTTGATCGTTTGGGCTCTTCACGTGGGCCAGGAGGGGATTTTCTTTTGAAAAGGCTGCTCAGAAAAAGGCAGAACAACAAAACTACAACACTAAAAGGGAAAGCTGTTAAACTAGAGAAAATTCACCAAACAGGTCTGTTCAGCAAGTTGCATCCTCTATACAGTAAAAAAATATATATATATATGGAGATAAGGAGGTTTTAAAAAGCCAAAAAGCACAAAACTCAGGTGGATTCGACTTTGTCCCGCATCATTAACTTTTTATGAGCCAAGAAAGATAAATAATATTGTTTAATGAGTAATAGCAATTATTTTTGGCAGCAAACTACTGCAAACACTTGCTGGAAGAACTACCAATATCCACACGAGCGCTTTCTGAGCCAGTCCCTTCTAGTTCATTAAACAATCAGCTCAAGGAGGTGTTTTCAGTTCATTTTAAGGCTGGAAAACCACCTTTTTTTCACCACTACCTTTGCACAGCAGTGATTTAAGTCAGGGCATTTCACCCTGACGCTGATGTTTTCCCTTTACATCTGACAATCCCTGGGATGCTACCCCCTTTTCAGCAATTTTAAATTTGCCAGAGGACAGATTAAGATAATACCTTCAATTATTAGTTTGCCAAGTGTTTGCCACTACTGTGCTGTCCCCGTGTCCCCCCTGCCATGGAGAATCAAACCCCAGCAACATCCATCTTAATTACAGCTGCACGGCCCCCTCTTTAATGCAGAAGACACCCCTTGTATTTGGGGTTTTGTGTGTATAAAACAGGTTTTTGATTTAAACTGCACAGGTAAATCCTCTGCTCGAAAGGGTTTGCACATTTCCTCCAGAAATAAGGGGAATTACTCCAAATCCTCTGCTCGAAAGGGTTTGCACAACATTTCCTCCAGAAATAAGGGGAATTACTCTTTCTGGCTCCCTCGCTGCTTTCCTGCACCACAAATTTTTATTCTTCCCCTTGGCCACCAGATTTTCAAGTCCTCCCCAGCTGCTGAGTTACTCCGTTTCCATGGAGTCAACAGGTTTTCAGGGGAAAACAAAGGCACTGAGTGCTTCTGAGAAAGCCTTCTTCATTTCGCTCTCGCTTTAACAACTTCACAATTCCTGTTTAAAACTCCACTTAGCCCCTACAACAACCACTAAGGAGGGGATGCACTCACCATCTGCTCTAGTTCCTAGCCACACATCGCTCATGGTAACCACCAGACAGGCTGGCCATGCACCTGTGTGATGTGAAGTCACAGAAGGGTTGAGGTGGGTAGGAACCTCTGGAGGAACCTCCTTGCTCAAGCAGGGACACTTAGAGCTGGTTGCCCAGCGCCACGTCCAAACAGCTTTTGAGTATCTCTAGGGATGGAGACTCCCAACACCTTTGTGGGCAGCCTGTGGCACTGCTCGGTCACCCTCACAATGAAAAAGTGTTTCCTGATGTTCAGAGGAACCTCCTGTGTTTGTGCCCGTTGTCCTGGGCACCACTGAGAAGGACCTGGCTCCATCCTCTTGGCACCCTCCCTTCAGTTAATCATATACATTGATAAGATCCCCTGGAGACTTCTCTTTTCCAGGGTGAACGATCCCATCTCTCTCAGACTTTCTCCACAGGAGAGGTGCTCCACTCCCTTCATCATCTTTGTTGCCCTCTCACCAGTATGTCTGTGTCTCTTCTACTGGGGACCCCACCACCAGACCCAGGACTTCCAGACGTGGCCTGAGCAGCGCTGAGCAGAGGGGAAGGGCCACCTCCATCCACCTGCTGGCAATGTTCCTCCTCATCCAGCCCAGGGTACCCTCAACCTTCTTGCAGCAAGGGCACTTTGCTGGATCATGGTCAGCTTGGTGCCCACCATGACCCCTCAGGACGACTTCCAGACGTGGCCTGAGCAGCGCTGAGCAGAGGGGAAGGGCCACCTCCATCCACCTGCTGGCAATGTTCCTCCTCATCCAGCCCAGGGTACCCTCAACCTTCTTGCAGCAAGGGCACTTTGCTGGATCATGGTCAGCTTGGTGCCCACCATGACCCCTCAGGGCCTCGTCTTTCAAGGATTCTCCTCTGCTTTCCATGGATCTGCTCTGCTCCCCACTGTCCTACAGCTCTTTCCATTTCTTGGAAGCCCATAGATTCAAGTATTTCCCTGCTTTTTTTTTCTGCTGGGGAAAAAAAAAAAGCAATTTAAAAAAAGCAATTTTACACACACTTCCTGTGTTCCCTCAGAGTCTCAAGTTGGGAAAACACCTAATTGCAAAATAATAATTAAAAAAAATAATACTAAGCTCAGCAAGTTGGCTTTGGATTGGGGCAAAAAGCACCAAAGCCGCGAGCCCCTCCAAGCTGTCCTCGGTTGCCAGCCCCACCAAACAGCCCCAGGAGAGACCTGCCACTCATCTCGTGCCAGTCATCAGGCCACAATTCCAAACCCTTGAAACCACGCTCTCCTGATGGGAAGGTGGTGGGACGCAGCTGACAAAACTCCACTTACACAAAGTCATGGGAGATGTGTTTCTGCTTGCCTTCAAAACACACCACGGGGCTGCTGGGCGGGTACAGTGGGAACAAGCAGCAGCAGAAATGCTCTGAAAAACGGTGGTTCTCTTACAGGGGGGGAAAATAAACCACCCTAAAGCCTGGGGAGGCCCCATCTGGAGCACTGGGTCCAGTTGTGGGCTCCCCAGTTCCAGAAGGACAGGGAACTGCTGGAGAAGGGACAGCAGAGGGCTACGAAGATGAGGAGGGGCCTGGAGATCTCTCTGCTGAGGAAAGGCTGAGGGACTTGGGTCTTTTGAGTCTGGAGAAGAGAAGACTGAGGGGGGATCTGATCAAGGCCTAGAAATCCTTCAAGGGTGGGTGTCAGGAGGATGGGGCCAGGCTTTTTTCAGTGGTGCCCAGGGACAGGACAAGAGGGAACGGGCACAAACTTGACCATCAGAAGTTCCACCTCAACATGAGGAGGAACTTCTTCACTTTGAGGGTGTTAGAGCCCTGGCAGAGGCTGCCCAGAGAGGTGGTGGAATCTCCTTCTCTGGAGACATTCCAACCCCACCTTGGACACGTTCCTGTGGGACCTGCTCTGGGTGGCCCTGCTTTGGCCTAAACCAATAGCCACTTGCAATCCCACGCGCTCAAGAGGGGATTCTGGTTTTCATGGCTTCTAAACCAGTAGCCACTTGCAATCCCACAGGCTCAAGAGGGGATTCTGGTTTTCATGGCTTTGTTTTAAAGTTATGTTAAATAAATACTCTCCTTAGAGTAGCCCAACCTCGAGCATAACTCCAGGCTTTTTTTTTTTTCTCCCCTAAAAACCAGCATGTATCCTAGAAAGCCTAAGTGGTGGGATGTCCTCCTGGAGACATCGCACAGCGGCGCAAAACAAAGAATCCTGCCCCAAACCCTCTGATTTCTAACGTTTAAACCTCTGCCTTGGGGTCACCGTCCTACTCAAACATCACAGAGCAGCAGCGAGGACAACGGGACCGCTCTCAGGAGAAAGCGCCACCACCCTTTTCACCCTTATTCTCCCCAAATTCAGACCCAGCCCTCGGGGCAAGAGCTTCTGCCAACTTCCAAGCTGAGCGTGGATGGATTTACCAGCTGCTGCCAAGCAGTTTGGGATCTGAACACCCTCTAGTTCAATATTTGCCTTCAGAACCACCCCACCTTCTTCAGAAGCTGTTGACAAGGCTCTAATCTGCCCTGAAATATTGCTCGTCGCCAAGAGGAAAGGGAAGGGACGCGGGCAGTGGGGCCACGTGCCTCTTCCTGGAAGGAAAAGGGCAGGTTGGGATTCTCCTGTCACAAAAGGACCCTCCCCAGCTCCACGGAAAAAGGAAACAGAGCCCGGCAGTGCTGACGTTTTGGGGAAAAATGAAGGAAATGCCCAGTTTGTAGATCAACCACAAGGAAGAGCCACTTTCTATTCCCCCTGGATAAAAGCGTCCTCCAGCTCTGAGCTTCTTGCAGAGGGGTGACAAAAATGGGACATCTCGAGCAGCTGGAATTATCAGAGGTGCCTTCAACAACATCAGACCTCCGGTTTTGGAGAGCTGTCAACTGTGAGGAGACCAAAGTTTGGAGCTGGATCCAGAACCCGGCCACCCAACAGGAGCCTTTCTACAGCCTTGGGGACAGCTGGGGACAAGCCAGACTCAGGTTGTTCCCCAGCAGCACGCAGGAAAGGGTAAGTTTCTCACATTGTATCTGCACCACCCATCATCATCTGAACACTTCCCCTTTCCTGACCACACAGCACCGACATCTTGGGTTTGGTTTTACCCATGAGGCCCCTACACACACAGCAAAGTGCATTTTCCTGAAAAACAATTAAACTCTCCTTCCTGATTTTGGGCAGAGCGGTTTTAAAACAAGGAGGAACTTTGTCCTTTCAAGTGGGTCACCCCAAAGTCCCCAAATCCAATACCAAGCCCTGGCATCACCCTGGCTAACACCCCTGGTTTTTTCTCTTTGGAGAATACCCCCCCATCCTTAATGGTGTTTCTATTGTCCCTTATCTCCAACACAACCTTGGCTATTCACTACCTTTTCAATTCCATCTAGGAATCCTCCTTCTTGGGATTTTAAATTTATTTTCCATCCTCCTTCTTGGGGTTT